CCTCTTGTGGCATTGTGTTTTATTGACTAAAGGAATAGAACATGGTCACTTTGCAAAGTGAAAATCCCCTTTGCACGGAAACTAAAAAATCAAAATGGATTTTGTTTGAGCATGACTGGACAATTGAAGTCATAACAACTTTACCCTATATTCACTAAGGTGAAGAAGACTTCTCTTTTGGAAAGAGACACAATGGGCCTGATTTACTAAAGGAATAGAGAGTTTTTGCTTTCAAAGTGAACTTTCATTTAGCTTAATAAATGAAACATGAAAATGGGGAAGCTATGCAGATTTCAATCATCTAATCAGGTGATGCAAAAGTCAATGTTGTGAAATTTTCCTTGCATTTGAAAAGATGTTCTGTGCAAAGTGAATTTTCTTTTTTTTAAATATATGTTAATTAGTTTTGTGGCACAACAGCACATGTGTACAAACAACAGCATCAGCCATTAGACAGTACAAAACAGGAGCGTCTTTGCCATTGCAAAAGAACTAAGGTTGCGACCAACAGTAAATTGACAAAAAATATGATAACAAACTATTCGAGAGTCAGAAACAACCCACTCTTGATCAGCAGCTAGGTAGAGGGAAACCAATTTACCAAGTGAATGCTAAAGGGCAGGAGCTGGTGTGAGTCCAACTCCCCTCAAATGGTCATCAGGGTCGAGCTACTAAGGAAGAACCAATGAAAATGCTTGAAAAGCAGACTTTTTTTGCTTTAGCGGGATGGAGTGAATGATGGAGTGAATGAAAATAGAAAAATAGGGGAGGACAAAAAAAAGAAGAGGGGGGGAGAGGGGGAAAAATGGGTAATAAGTCCGGACAGGGAGTTAGCCTGGCAGAATCTGAAGACTGGTATGGATCTGGATCACTTGAGAAATGGCAATAGCTGTGGCGAAGCTGAAAAGTCAATCCAGGCAAACCACAATTCTAGCATTTAGTGTAGCTCTCATTAGCATTAGTCAGAACCTCTTCCATCCTCATAATATTATTTAGTTTTGTTACCCAGTCCCTGATAGTGGAAGCAGAAGTTGGTTTCCAGTGTCAAGGAATCAGGGCTTGGCCTGATAAAGTTAGAAAGGGAAACAAACCCTTTTCTAAGCTTTTGCTTGAACCTGAAAACATGGCTAAGAGTGCTGCCTCTGGGGGTTTTGGTCACGCCCTGCCTGCAATTTGAATGTTACCCTCATTATTTACTTCCTTAGTAAATCAGGACCATTGGGGTTAATTTAGGAAAATTAGAACAAAAGTAGACCTGTTGCTCTTAACAACCAATCAGATAGCTTGCTCCTTTCTCCTGGTCAAGGTTAGTAAATGAGAGGGGATTCTGGTAGGGGCAAGCAAGATCAGGCCATATAATTTTTACTGTAACAGTTTGTGGAAAGTTTAAATAATGACAATAATAATGCAAACAGAACAATTTATGCATGTTTTAAAAGTATATAATTTTGCACATGATAAAGAGAATGCCTGAGCAAGTTTAAAAATATATGTAACCTCTATACTTCTTTTTTCAGTATCTCATCTTTTCAGTATTCGTGTCTCACTATATACAGTTTTCATGAGCAAATCAATTTTTGCAAATCTGTTGCAAAATTGCTTACCTAGAGATCCAGGCACTAACAAACCTGTTGCAGGCTGGTAATGTTCAGCCACTGCCACACAATTAGTAACCAAAAGGCAATATGCTGTTGCTCTATGCTGATGACACACAAATCTATCTTTCTACTCCTCACCTCACCCCTTCAGTCTCCTCTCGCATTACTAACCTACTAAGTGACATATGGGCATGGATGTCACTCCACTTCCTCAAACTCATTCTTTCTAAAACTGAGCTCATAATATTCCCTCCAGCCTGTGCCCCCTCCCCTGACTTCTCCATCAAGATCAATAATACAACCATCAGTCCTTCCCCTCATACCAGGGTACGAAGTGTAATCCTGGACTCCCATCTGTCCTTTCAGCCCCAAATCCAATCGCTGTCCAAATCTTGTAGACTTCACCTTCACCACATCTCCAAGATATGGCCGTTCATGACCTCTGAAACCACTAAGCAACATATTCACTCCCTTGTTATCTCTTGCCTTGACAATTGTAACTCCCTCCTCATTGGCCTACCTAATCGCAGGCTATCCCCTCTTCAGTCTGTCATGAATGCTGCTGCCAGACTCATCCATCTTACTAACCGTTCTGTGTCTGTCTTCCCTCTCTGCCAATCCCTCCACTGGATTCCCATTGCTGAAAGAATAAAATTCAAAACATTAACAATAACATATAAAGCCATTTATAACTCTGCCCCAAATTACATCACCAATCTTGTCCCCAAATATCACCCAAACCATTCTCTCCGCTCCTCGCACGACCTCCTGCTCTCTAGCTCCCTTATCTCGTCCTTCCATGCTCATCTCCAGGACTTCTCCAGAGCTTCCCACATCCTCTGGAACTCTCTACCCCAATCTATCAGACTATCACCTACTTTGCCCACTTTTAGGCGATCTCTGAAAACCTATCTCTTTAGGGAAGCCTATCCTGCCTTCAGCCAATAACGGAATCTTCTATTCCTCCTATCAGTTCATCCCCCCACAGTTATTACCTTTAGTACCACCAGCCCCTCTCTCTCAGATTGTAAGCTCCAAGGACCAGGACCCTCCTAACCCTCTTGTATTAAACTGTATTGTTGTGGATATTGTCTTTATATTGTAAAGTAGTGAACAAACTGTTGGCGCTATATAAAGCCTGTATAATAATAATAATATTAAAAGGCTGTGCATGTTAAAAGTGCTAAATGCTAAAATCCTTTCCTTAAGAAATCTGTGCACAGAGAGACATGATGCCACATATGTTAAAACAAAGGGTTGGGTTCACATACACTTTAATAAATAGCCAGTGTTTTGATTAGATTTTCATGGGAGAGTCTGTGTTAGAATGGTCATTGAATCTGAATAGGGGCCCTTCAGTGGGCTCCAAACCTAAATATGACTTGGCAACTTGTTTTACACCTTTAAAATATTTGAATGGATTTTTTTTTTATCTTAGTATCCCAAAATAGTGAAACAAGTAGGTTCATATTTACATCAATTTCATGTGATAGAGTTAAAAAAATGACAGACATGTTTGAAGTACAGCCCTTGTGGCAACCATGACTCCCCCTATAGGAACAGTGAAGGAGATGTAAGCACACAGGGAACAGAGAGTGTGGTATTTGCAAGATCACGTTAAAAAAATAATGCAGGTATGCAACAGTTAAGATTTTCAAAGCTTAAAGTGGTAAACCCTATTCCCAGTGAAGTTGAAACTCCTAAGTAAGTTGTACCTGTTTTCTGCAATTTTCTTTTTTCTACATCCATTCAAAGTCTAAAATCTATACAGCTTGTCTGAGCATCCAGAAAGCAGGGGGTGAGAGCTGAAATACCACTTAGTGAGGACAGCTGAGAGCTGATTGGAGGAAAGGGACACACCCTCTTCGCACAGCATACAGGAACAGAACTGAGGTTGTCATTCACAGGAAAACATGTCAGAAGTGTGTAAATAGCACAGGAACGAGGCATCAGAAAGAAATTACAATGAGTGCCATGGATCGAGACAAGTACAACCTATAGAATGATATCCTTTGTTCATATTTCATGTCTGAGGTTTAGAACCACTTTTAGGGTTATGTTGTGTATGAAACTTGGTGCGCTAAAATAATTAATTAATGTATAAATGTGTCAAATTCCATGTGTCCCCAAACAAGTAAACTCTAATAAGGTACAAACTGAAAAAAATACAAACAATATGTAAAATGTCCAACCTATTCAAATGCAATAGTATAATTGATAAAAACGATTGGTGTAAAGCAGTGCAATCAATATGCACAACGGATCAATATACAACAATCAACCTAAAAAAAAAAGAACATCAAATTCATTTAAATTCATATTTACTCATGATCTATGTGAACTTATCCATGAACGTGTGATTTAAAAAAGTACAATCGATGTGCACAAATAATCATTAAGAAACAATAAACATCAATAAAAATCAAGTTCCAAATAAGTTCATGTTCACTTGTAATCCATGCAAACATATGCGTGAGCAGTGTTGGATTTAAAATTTTAAGGAGAAATATTAATCCAGAAAGTCACACACAGTACCGCCACCAGGAATCCCCAATGGGTGTAGTCTCAAATTAGGCCCTTATTATAAGGGCCAATTAAACCTCATAACAGTCTGTGATTTGAGATGGCTGCTACAGGTGTATATTTGATGGATATGCAGGTATTCACAGCAGACAACAGGACATACCATTTCAAACCAAAGAAAAACTGAAAAAAGAAGAAAGCCTCACAGTGTAACCTATAAATTTAATTTTTTTAAATAAAAGCATAAATTGCATTCACATTAAGGAGCCAGAGTAAATGCACAAGGGAGGACTAAGCCACCACCGCCCCTCACGTCTCTAATCAGCGTATACACAGCTGTACTGTGGGGAAAGGTGAAAGAAACCGGAAGTTCACTTGTGGACACTCTCTCTCCTGGATCAGTGAAGCTCCATTCTACATTATATGCTGCCGTATAACTAGCAAAATTCAACCTTAGCAGTGGTTGGTTCCTTAGTAGATTTGTGTTAGCATGGTTATGAGTGAGTGTGCACACAGACAAAAGCAGTCAGATATTTGCATTAGAAAGACAATTTACATGACTATTAGCTGATACATATCATTGGGGGATTTCTATCCACTGCCCAAAACTGGCAAAACTTAAAGAATGGCAAGCTGGCCTAGGACAATTTTGCAGGGATCACAGCTTAGATAGCAACATTTAAACAGTGTTGGCGTTAGGCCCACTCTTTATTCATTATGTTACACAGATGGTGAACTTTGAAAAATTTTTGAAGGGTGGTGCAGTGCCCCTTGTTTTACTTTGTAAGGCCTGCTAAGTGATAAAATATAACAAAACTGAAGCTGCTTGGGGATGTAGGACAACTTAGTAGAAGCAGCTAACTGAAATTTTGCCCTGATTACTAATGGTATGGATGTTCACGACCAGGGGCGGACTGACAACTCATGGGGCCCCCAGGCAATAAGGGATCATGGGGCCCCTGTGTCCTTGCCCAAACTAAAAAAAAAAACCTATGAAAAAGGTACCAGGGGCATCTCATGGGGCCCCCTGTTGACCCCGGGCCCTTGGGCAGTGCCCTAGTTTCCAAATGGTCAGTCCGCCCCTGCTCATGACTGTGGGGTGGAGGTGGGGGGTTAACACTGACAGCAGAATTATATTCCATTTAAATAGTTCTGGGTCCTCTCTATTTTGTTTGTTTTTCTACTTTTTAATGGAGGTTTCTAGTGACTGCCACTATGAATGATGATCACACATAGCCTGAAGACTCCTTATACACAGGAACATTGTATTGGAGGTTTTCAGCAGTAATATACAACAATATAATAAGTTACAGGTACATCACAATAAGATTACAATATAATACTGTTGTAGCAATAAAACCTGTGTAGCATATATTTTTAGCACCTGAGTAACCTTGGGCCTGAACCCCTACTAAGGTGGGAAATGTAAAATTTAATATGCATTCTCTATGCCAGTTCCTCCACTCTTTCTAGCCTTGCGTGAAGCAAGTGGGACCTCTGACTCAGATAACCTGGCCCCAAGGCTGTATCATATATCACAAAACAAAGAAGGAGAGAAAATAGGCTGCACACCTAATGAGCTAACCTCAATTCAAGTTTATTGTACATGAATCACAAAAAGTGACAACGGAGATACGACATGTAATCCAACATACACTGGGTCTGACCTACCCCGATGTTGCATACCCCTATGATTCAATCCCAACCACCCACCAAACCCCCCCAAAACCCACAATGCACCCCCCCAGATGGAACACCGACCCACCCTATCACCCCCCTCCCAGAAGGAGGGAGAGGAGCTGAGGGGAAAAATCACCAGCCCACTGACACCCCCGACCCCCAACACCCGCTAGATGAACACCCACACACCAACTACACACCCAGGGCTCCTAAGATGAAGTGCAAGTAACCTGCATTGATATATTATACAAGAGCCATGAATGGAGTAAACATGGATGCTCAGCATGTATGGTAACACAACCAACAGAAGCCTGTTAGGCTATAACCAATAGCCAGAAGAGGTGACAATATATTCATAAGTTAGTGTAAAGGGCAATAGCCTTAAAAACCAGTCAGTGTGGTATAGTATAACCTCTTATATGGCCAACGCCTGGTGGTGTAAGGCAATGATAGTGGTAGCACCTTTCCATATACTCTGGTGGCATCTCATATATATATATTTTGTTACGATTGTACGTGGACTCCCCAACTTTCCCACTTCCCTTTTCCCTCTCATTTTTGTATCATATATCAATATGTAATAGCATTAGCTACATACAATATGGTGGTTCTGTGTTCTGCAGCAGTATGGGGCTTCCCATCTGCTGCCAGAATGAAATCGAGTCATCCTCAATGCTTCTCCCCCATTTACGAGAAGCCTTGTATTTTTATCAATGATAAAAGGATTTCCATGGCTATGGGGGCACTTGGCATAGGGGAGGAGCCAGGAGCATTGAGGACTCCAGAATCAGTGAATTAATTGCGCAGAGCAGGCAAGTATGACATGTTTGCTATTAAAAAAAAATACATGCTTACAATCACTTTAAGGTGGGTTTGAGGGAACACATCTACATCCACTCTTTGTAGATAAAGGCAGTGTTAAAACAATCCTATTCAGTGGGGCACTCGTGAGCAGCAGATTGAATGGGTGCATTGTAGGCCTGCTCCTTGGCTGCCAGACACATCGGCCTATATCCCAGCCCTCAGGGGGGGTTACTGGTCTTCCCACTAGTTCCTGTCACCCGCTGCCCCGATGGGCAAGAAATCAGTGGCCGCCCGCACCTCCAGCACCTGGCGGGCTGCAATGGAATTCGCGTCTGAAGCAGTGGCTTCGATTTTGGGTCCGCCGGAGGCCGCATCTGAAGCCCTGGCCTTGAGTTTGGGTCTTCCACCGGAGGCCACAAATGAAGCCCCTGCCTTGATTTCGGGTCCCCCGCCGCTACCCACGGGTGGTCTGGATCCCAGCAGTGACGAGCAGGCATCAGAGGCATCCCTGCAGTCCCCCACTCTCAGCTCCTGCCGCTTCAAGTCCATGCTGCAGTCAGAATTGTCCTTCGCTACTTCCAAGCTAGCCAACCATCTTTCTCGAGAAATTTGGGAGTTGGGCAATCGGAAGAACGATCTTGAAGATAAAATGGATGCTGCGGCCACGATCATTGAAAGTCACGAACAGGATCTGTGTGACCTCAAGAAAGAATTGATGGACACACTGCTCTGGCTTGAGGATTTCAAAAACCGTTCCCGCAGTAGCAATTTGCGATTAAGGGGTATCCTAGAAACTGTCACAGATCTCACCTCAACCGCTACTGCTCAGTTTTAGGAGCTGACGCCTGCCATACCCATTGACCGGCTTGAATTTGACCGCATACACCGTGCATTGGGCCCTAGATGACCAAATGGGCCCCTGAGGGACATTATCATCAAGTTCACTTACTATCGCACTAAGGAAACTACTACCCTCTTGGTGGCCAGAAACAGCCCAGAACTCAGATTCCAGGGGTATCGCTACCAGCTCTTCACAGACCTCTCCCAGACCACTCTTCAGAAGCGCCGCCAGTTGAAGCCCTTCACTTCAGTCCTGGTGAACCGCAGAATTAAATACGCCTGGGGCTTTCCGTTCCGCATCACCTTCAACCACCAGGGCTGCAGTCACTCTGGTGCCACGCTGGAGGAGGCCCACTCTCTCCTGAAATCTCTCCGGGAGGCGCTACTCAGAGCCCAGCTCAGTCATCCGGATCCCCGGTGACGCCACTTCCTCTGGGCCGCCTCTGGAAGCGGTCATCCAACAGGAAGAAGGCCCTCCCTCAGACCCCTGTACGATCAAGTCCGCCCTGCTCTTCTCCAGGCTGAAGATGTATCTTGGACCTCCCACGTTGTGTTTCACCATTATACTCTCCTGACGGGACCGTGAGTTTGGCCTTTAGGGCATTCCCAGTGTGTTAGTGTTCCAGGTTGGGCCTGATCAGGCCTGTTCCCTTGGGTTCCATCCTTGAGTGGGGGGGGGGGGGGGATCTCCTCCTGGACTTGAGGATTATAACTTTTTGCTGTTGCGGCCTACCACGGGTAGTTTTTTTTTCATCACCTCAAATCGCAACAAATTTACGTGGTATGTTTACAGGAGACCAGGTTTTCTCAGTCCTCCGCCCCACGGTATCTTTCGCCTCATTATCCCACTTTTTATACGGCCTCGGCTCCTGAGAAATGCCGGGGTGTACTGATAGCCTTCAAACGCAATCTCCCCTTTGTCTGTGCACAGGCAGGTATTTGCTACTGCAGGGCACCCTCTGGGACCAGGATGTTACTTTTGTCTCTTAATACGCGCCCAATCGCTTTCAGCATAAATTCTTTTCTCATCTTTGCACCATCGTTTCCCGACACTCCAAGGGTCTTCTTCTTTTGGGAGATTCAAATGTTACCTTGGATTCCACATTAGATAGGCGCTATGCCCGGGGCGGCCCCTTCTTACGACTTAGTGCTAGAGGAACGTATGCGCTCTCTTTTGCAGACAGCGGGGCCGGTGGACGTCTGAAGGGAACTTCACCCAACTGAGCGCGACTTTACATTCTATTCCAATCCTAATGACAGTTTTTGTAGAATTGACCATATATTCATGCATGTCCAGCAGCTTCCATTGGTCAGGCGGATATCTATTCCCTCCTCACCCTGGTCGGACCATGATCCCCTGGTATTCCTCCTTTCCCTCTCTGGGTCGGTACAGTGCCACTTTCACTGGCGCATTAATAATTCTCTATTGACCACTCAGGTTACCTGCCAACAAATAGAATCTTTCTTATGCACATACCTTACCGAAAACTCGGGATATGTCTCTTCGGCAGTACCCCTGTGGGAGGCACATAAAGCCACAGTGCGGGTCATGTTATACAGCTGGCGGCGGTTCATAAGTGGGAGCGGGAGTGCCGACTTTTGGAGCTTCATTCTCTACTGGCCTCTACGGGTGCTCGTTGGAAATCATTTCCATCCACGGCCCATAAACGTGCCCGGGACGCTCTTGCTGTAGAGTTGGACCTACTTGCTTCTTCAGAGGGGGAAAAGGCCCTGCGTTGGACCAAACACAAATTTTATTTCTGTGCTAATAAGCCAGGACCGATGCTGGCCAGTAAACTCAATTCTGTGGGGAATCCCCATAAACCGATCCAATTGCGACTTCCCGTGAGTGGCTGTACTTCTGATCCCCAGCAGATTGTTTCCCGTTTCGCAGACTTCCTTTAGCGCCTTTACACTAAACCAGATCCCTTTCCTGTGGCTCAGGCAGAGGCATTCTTCCAAGATCTCTGACTTCCTGGATTATCCGAGGCAGCGCAGATGGCCCTCAACGCCGGTGTCACCGTATCGGAAGTGCTCCAAGCTATTAAATCTCTACGGTCCACCGTGGCCCCAGGTCCCGACAGCTTCTCCAGTCTCTATTATAAGAAATTTGCAATCCTGTTGGCGCCGTTCTTGGCTGTCTATTTCAATGAGTTATGACAGGGCTCTTTGTCCTCTCCGGATGCGCTTAGAGCTCATATCTCCATGATTCCTAAAACGACCGATGATGTGCAGGAACCACAAGCCTTCCAGCCTATTTCTCTCCTTAATGAAGACCCGACGATATTGGGCAAGATCCTTAGTCTTCGTATCAATAAATATTTGCGTAGTCTGGTCCACAGGGACCAAGTAGGTTTTGTCCCTGGGAGGCAGGCGGGTGATAATGTTCGTAAGGTGGTCCATCTTATACATTTTCTACAACAGCGGAAAATCCTGGGATTCTTACTGTCCTTAGACATACAGCATATAAAGCCTATTTGGCTTCCTATTTGTTTTTTTCGGCCACTAGAAAAATTGCTCAGGCCTGGAAGAGCCCGTTTGTCCCTCTTCAGGGGGTGTGGGACTGTATGACCACTATGATGCTCATTGAATAGATGTTGAGTATTTGTAACAACTCCCAACTGATATTCTTCAAAATATAGGAGCCGTGGTTGCAATATGCTTTTCCCACGCTCCCCCTGGCTAGTCTGGGGTTGTGATGTTGCTCGGTATTGGTGTTCTCGGACCCCTGCTCTTGGTCTTGTTATCTTTTTCCTTTTGT